ACCTTGGTAGGGATGGTACCACCCTCCCAGTTGAGATGCACTGCGTGAGACTTTTGAGAAAATTTGATGAGTTGACAAATCGTTTAGCACCTGTGGTTGTAAATACTCTGTGTTCTGTAGCTTCTCTTATTAGCTAAACAGAGAGGATTATAATATTAACCTAAAAACAAAACAAACAAAAAAATCCCTGAAAGCCCTTGTAGATCCAAGAGACTTTCCTTTATAATTTTTTTTCTAATTAATTTTCTCATACCATTTAAAGGAAGTCTCGCATTTCTGAATGTATATTTTCCTCCTCCAAGAGCATCAAAAGAAGATGGAAGGAACACACACAGTCACTATACCAAAAAGAATTGGTCGATGTTCAACCATTTCAGGAGGTAGCATATGATCAGGAATCAATGGTACTGAAGGAAGAAGTCCAAGCTGCACTGAAGGCATTGGCAAAAAACAAGGCTCCAGGAACTGACAGAATACCAATTGAGATGTTTCAACAAACAGATGCAATGCTGGAAGTGCTCACTTGTCTATCTATACCAAGAAATCTGGAAGACAACTACCCGGCCAACCGACCGGAAGAGATCCATACTTATGCCTATGCCAAAGAAAGGTGATCTCACTGAATGCCGAAATTATTGAACAATATCATTAATATCACACGAAAGTAAAATTTTGCTGAAGATCATTCAAAATTGATTGCAGCAATACATCAACAGGGAACTGCCAGAAATTCAAGCTGGGTTCAGAAGAGGACGTGGAACCAGGGATATCACTGCCAATGTCTGATGGATCCTGGCTGAAAGGAGAGAATACCAGAAAGAATAGCTGTGTTTTACCGGAAACCCTGTTGGCATAGTGGTTAAATGCTACAGCTGCTAATCAAAAGGTTGGCTAGTTCAAATCCACCAGGCACTCCTTGAAAACTCACTATGAGTTTGAGTTGACGCAATGGGTTTGGTTTTTGGTTATGTGTTTTATTGACTGTGCAAAGGCATTTGACTGTGTGGATCATAACAAATTATGGATAGCATCGTGAAGAATGGACCTATACACAGATCAAGAGGCAGTCGTTCGAACGGAACAAGGGGATACTGCGTGGTTTAAAATCAGGAAAGGTGTATGTCAGGGTTGTATCCTTTCCCCATCCTCATGCAATCTGTATGCTGAGCAAATAATCTGAGAAGCCTGACTATATGAAGAAGCACGGGGCATCAGGATTGCAGGAAGACTCATTAACAACCTGTGTCACACAGATGACACAACCTTCCTTGCTAAAAGTGAAGAGGACTTGAAGCACTAACTGATGAAGATCAATTCTACTTGGAACAATAATCAATGCCTATGGAAGCAGTGGTCAAGAAATCAAATGACATATTGCCCTGAGTAAATCTGCTGCAAAAGACCTCTTTAAAGTGTTAAAAAAGATGTCACTTTGATGACTAAGGTGTGCCTGACCCAAGCTATGGTATTTTCAATCAACTCACATGCATGTGAAAGCTGGACAATGAAAAAGGAAGACAGAAGAATTTATGTGTTTGATTTGTGGTGTTGGTGAAGAATACTGAATATACCGTGGGTTTCTAGAAGAACAAACAGATCAGTCTTTGAAGAAATATCAACAGAATGATCCTTAGAAGCGAAGACGGTGAAATTTCATCTTGTTTACTTTGGATCCATCATCGGGAAAGATACAATCCCTAGAAAAAGACATCACATTTGGTAAAGCAGAGGGAAAACCCTCTAGGAGAAGGATTGACACAATAGCTACAACAATGGACTCCAGCATACCATTGATCATGTAAATGGCACAGGGCCAGGCAACATTGCGTTTTGTTATACGTAGGGTGGCCGTAAGTTGGAGCTGACTTGAGGGCAACAAACAACGGTTGGATAATACTTTTCTCTACATTATTACGTGATCTGTTTTTGTTTTTACGATATCACTTTTGTCACATTCATCTTTTAAAATCTTATTCATGCTATTAACTGTTACATAGTACAGTTTATTTACAAAGATGTCTCTCCAATTGTTTGGTTGTCTGAAGCCCATTCTTCACTAGATTGCATAGGAAAGGCTCACGGGACTACTATTCCCTAAACGTCAGTGTGCAGCCTTTTTTTTTTTTTTTTAAATGCAATTCATCATCATATTCAGTTGCTCCTTAGCACAATGCAGTTGTGAGAACATCTTTCAGTTCTTTGAGATATGTTTTCCTCTAGAGAGGAGTCTTTGTCTTTTTGCATGCTTTGTTTTACAGTGTTTGCATTTTTGACACGTCATTCCTTTCTTATCTTGTTTATACTGTCAGTTTAGATAGAATATGGTCGTTTTTTTTTCTTTCTTCAAGTCAATACATTTTTTACCAGAGTGTACCATGAGAAAGGCAAGAAGAAGGTAGGGCATACAAAGATATTTGTTCTTAACTTTCCCTCTTTTATCTATTGCTGCTGAGAGGTGTTTGAGAGCTTTAAGGAAAATCAGATATTCCTTCTCCATTTTTGTGACAGTATGAATTTCTAGCCATGTATACAGGCATACCTTGGTGATATTGCAGGTTGGTTCCAGACCACCACAATACAGCAAATATTGCAATAAAGTGAGTCACATGAATTTTTTGGTTTCCCAGTGCACATAGAAGTTATGTTTACACTATACTGTAGTCTATTAAGTGTGCAATACCATTATGTCTAAAAAATGTACATACCTTAATTAAAAAATACTTTATTGCTAAAAAATGCTAACCATCATCTGAGCCTTCAATGAGTTGTAATCTTTTTGCTGGTTAAGGGTCTTGCCTTGATGTTAATGGCTGCTGACTGATCAGGGTGATGGTTGCTGAAGGTTGGGGTGGCTGTGGCAATTTCTTAAAATAAGACAACAGTGAAATCAGCTGCATCGATTGACTCTGCCTTTCACAAAGGATTTCTCTGTAGCATGGGATGCTGTTTGATAACATTTTACTCACAGTAGAACTTCTTTCAGAATTGGAGTCAATCCTCTCAAACCCTGCCGCTGCTTTATCAACTAAGTTTATGTAATATTGTAAATCCTTTTTTGTCATTTCAACAATGTTCACAGCATCTTCACCAGGAGTAGATTCCATCTTAAGTTTCTTTGCTCATCCATAAGAAGCAACCCCTCATCTGTTAAAGTTTTATCATGAGATTGCAGCCATTCAGTCCATCTTCAGGCTCCACTTCTAATTCTAGTTCTCTTGCTGTTTCCACCATATCTGTAGTTACTTCCTCCACTGAAGTCTTGAACCCTTCAAATTATCCACGAGGGTTGGAATCAACTTCTTCCAAACTCCTGTTAATATTGATATTTTATGTTATACCTCAAGGCAAAGGAATAAATATAGGCACACCAAGGTTATAGACTAGAGGTTAATGACTATGTTCTTTTGTGTGAGTGCCCTCCTGGACCACACTGTGATTTAGGTCAGCCCTGCCCTGTGAAGCTTGGGCACAGGTTTGTGTGGGGCCAAGCACTTATGACACAAGGTGCAGCAGGGGGAACTTTTCTAGCAAGTCCATAACTATTGCATAGTGTTTACTAAGACAACACAGAATCAAGTATACGTAGCATTTCAAGGAGCCCACGTAAAAGGTCTTACTGTTGTTGTTGTTGTTAGGTGCCTGCGAGTCAGTTCCAACTCATAGCAACCCTATGTACAACAGAACAAAACACTGCCTGGTCCTGCGCCATCCTCACAATCTTTGGTATGCTTGAGCCCGTTGCTGTAGTTGCTGTGTCAATCCATCTCATTGAGGGTCTTCCTCTTTTTCACTGACCCTCCACTTTACCAAGCATGAATGTCCTTCTCCAGGGACTGGTCTCTCCTGATAACATGTCCAAAGTATGGGAGACGTAGTCTCGCCATCCTTGCTTCTAAGGAACATTCTGGCTGTACTTCTTCCAAGACAGATTTGTTCATTCTTCTGGCAGTCCGTGGTATACTCAGTATTCTTCACCAACACTATAATTCAAAGGTGTCAGTTCTTCTGTGGTCTTCCTAGACCCTTTAATTTCCTCTTTAATACCCTGATTCTGCCCAAATGGTTCACTCTCTGGGAGGGGAAACCCAAAGGTTCCACCAGGGAGCCTATGTCATTATTTGGGCTGGCTTAGGTATTAACAAAATTCTTTCTTAGAATGACTTTAAAGCTGCCTCCTTTAGCGTTCATCTGTTAGCACTAGTTCTGTACTCTGATGCTATGAAAAAGTTTAACGCTTCTTTCACGGATTAGCCCTCCAAACATTGGAGACACGCATTACTTTCCCATGCGTCTCTGCTTTTCCCAGATCGTCAGCTCTAGAATCCCTCAACTGCCCATCATTTTACACGGTTTAACCATCTTACTTCCAACTCGATCCCTGTTTTATATAGGTTTGTCAATGTCCCTCATCAAAGTGGCCCAAGACAGGTACACAGAACAGCTCCCGCTGCGGAGAAAAATGAGATCCTAGCCCAAATTATGGTGGAGCAGTCAGAGTATGCAAGAATCTATCTTGTCAGTGCCACCAGCAACGCCTCTGGTGGCACAGTGCACCTGAGTCCAGCAGAAACCAAGCGGTCATCATATAGAAAATTATTCGAGCAAAGTGACATTCTGCTTTTTTTACTGTTCCCCTCGATCTGTCGGCCTCCTCTCGCCTAATCCCAATCTGCAATTAAAGTTTCCCATTCTCTGGGGAACGTAAATCTGGGGACAACCCACCAGCAGCGGGTGTGTTTCAGTCACTTCCGGGGTCGAATAGCAGACAGTGACGAAGTCACAGCTGAAATAGGTGTTAGAGGCGAGGTGGCCTCTGCGAGCCGCCCTATCGCCGGGGGCCGATTTTGCGCATGCTCACAGGAAGCGCTTGCTGACGTCACTTCCGGTGCTGGTTTCGTCACGTTGTTCCGCGGAGTCGGGAGGCTGAGTTTAGCGTTATTGAGGAGCTACAGCTTCAGACGGGTAAATGTCGCACACATTGTCCCTCGTTCACCGCTTGCGTGTAAAGTGGAACCGAAGACTGTGCCAGGATTCACTCATGCTCTTCTAGTATTGTCTCCTGATGCCCTGGAACCTTGAATTCTGAGAACAAGGGAGAGGAGGTGGACAAGCTTTGGTTACCGTGGTAACTGCATGACACCAATTTGGGTCTTTGCGAATGTGGGAAGGGAGCACTTATGTAACGACCCTTTTAAAATACATTTGTTGGTCGGACTCAAATTTAAATCTTACATAAAACTCATGTGCCTAACTACCGAATTAGGTTTTGCAAAGTTCAATGTGGCTGTAATGTGAAGAGGCACAATTTGAGGCAGGGTTTTTACCCGTTGCCGTGGAGTCGATTCCGACTTCTAGCGACCCTGTAGGACCGAGTAGAACTGCCCCACAGGGGGTCCAAGGATCGCTTGGTGGACTGGAACTGCTGACCTTTTGGTTGGTAGCCGAGCTCTTAACCACTGCGCCACCAGGGCTCCGTAGTATCAAGAGTACTTAATAGTTGATTGGATTTGGAGAATTAGGCATCTTCAGGATCGAGACCAAACCCAGCCTGTCATATGATTATCTTTTTAGGTTCGTTTGCCACCATCAGTTCCAACTGCTGCCCGCCGCCCTCCTCCACCTCCCCCCCCCCAACGCTAGCTCTGTCAAGCTGTTACCTGATGTTCCTTCTACTTCCTAAAATATTGCCCCACCCTTCTTGTGACCTTGCGCAGGTTAGTTATTTTCACTAAGCCTTTTTAGTTATTCTCCTCCATTTTAATGTTGAAAAAACTGAGGGGCTACTTCTAGAAAGTAGAAATAACATCAAACTGCTTGCATTGGTTAGAGTTTGGGGCGTGTGCGGACGAGGGCTGCGAAAGGCAGAACTGACGGTGGGAAAGGAACCAAAAAGATAGTCATATGCCAGGCTGGATTTGGACTTGACCCTGAAGATGCTCAGGATACCTCTCCCTAATTCCCCATATCCAGTCAATTATCAGGTACTGTTGATGCTACCTCCAAATATTTCTCCAGTCTTCCCTCTTTAGGATTGCTGTTATTTAATTTAGGATTAGATTATATAATTTATATACCTGGCATATAGTAGGAGCCCTGGTGGCGCAGTGGTTAATAGCTGCAGCTGCTACTCAAAAGGTTGGCAGTTTGAGCAGCCACTCCTTGGAAACCCTATGGGGGACAGTCCTACTCTGTCCTGTAGGGTTGCTATGAGTCCGAATTGCCTCAACCGCCCCAGGTTTGGTGTATAGTAAGGACCCAAAAAATAATTGGCAGCTACTACTACTATTGTGCTTGTCATATTGTTTTATTATTACTTATTTTTCTGTTTCTTCCTCTAGGTTTTTTTTTAAACAGTATCTTATTTATCTTTCTATGTTCCTGGCACATAGTAGTTACTGAGTCTTTTTTTTTTTTTCTTGAAAGGATCTTACGTTTTGGCTGTTAATATAATTAAATTCATTTATTACTTTAAAGGAACTACCAAGTACAGTGAATTTTGCTGATCAAATGATATTTGTTAGTTAAAAAGATGCCCTTTTTTTTTTTTTAATAACTCAGAAACCTATGGATTAAGATGCATATATTCTTAGTTTTGAATAGGTATGAGTGATTTCAGTGACGAATTGACAAGGCCTGTGGCCAAGGCTGTTCGGGTGGAAACATCAATGCTCTCTGGTACAGGAATGTATATTCCTTGGCTCCGAAAGGAAATGGAAACTGTGGGTAAGTAAAATAACATATAACCATTTTAACCTAATGCAAGGAGATGATAAGGTTCAGTATGGATACAAAATGAATAACCAAGTTGGGAAGAGCTTCGGTTTTCAAGGTTTTTTTTTTTTAGCTGTGAGGAAGAAAAAAAAAATTTTTTTTATCCTTCTTTTCCTTTGAATTAGTAGTAAATAGTCTGTATTGTGGCAGCGTAGTACGTTGGAGGGACTTCGTGACTGATCAAGGAGGAAGGTGTGACCGTGAGATCGCAGTGTGGTGCAAGAGGGTATTTATTGGGTGGCCTGCCGGGTGCAAGAGACCTTCCCTGGGCAGCAGGCACAGAGAGCCATGAGAAGGGGAAAACCAAAAAAACCAAACCCTTTGCCATCGAGTTGATTCCGACTCATAGTGACCCTGTAGGACAGAGTAGAACTGCCCCATAAGGTTTCCAGGGAACAGCTGATGGATTTGTAGTGCTGACCTTTTGGTTAGTAGCCATAGTTCTTAACCACTGCACCACCAGGGTTTCCTCAGGAGGGGAAGAGGACATGAAAGACTCCTGAGGTAGAGAAGGGAGGGAGGGAAACCTTTTGTGTCCCTAGGTGATGTCGACCTGCAGCAAGGTAGAGAGTCTCTGGGTCAGAGAACTACAAAAGCAGTCGCACCTTTGGGTCTGCTTAACTACAGGATTTTATCTTATCTATGGCTAGCAGATGTTGTGTGCAGTTTCTCAGGGTATGTGAAGCAGGAAGACTTTGTTTTTTGTTTTTAATTATGTACTGCCTTGTACAATTTTAAGGTACCATCTACTGTAAGGTAATAGTTATATTATATTGTAATAGTTGCAAGAGATACAATTTCCAGCATATGTTCACATTTTATTATATCACTGTTTTAAATGTATCCAGTGGAAATCTAAATAGCATAGCAATGTGATACTATCATCCATTTAAAAAGATTTTTTGCAAAAGCTTTTAATAGATGGAAATTTTATACTGTTCCATTTTTTCCTATTGTACTTACTGTGCCAGAAATATGTATCTTAATTTACACTCATTATTTTTTGTTACTATCCTGTGATCATAAGGATTTAAGTATTAACATTTCTTCTGGATTAAGATGTAATGGTGAACACAGCTGATCAAAATAACATATATATGTTATAAATTTTATTAAATTTTAAGCATATGAAGTAAAATTTTATCTTTCATTCTATTTACTTTATATATCTATGAATGAATATTATGTATTTCTAGAAAGAGAAAAGATTTAGTGTCCTATTTCATTTTGTTTTAATTGATGTAAATTCTGAGAAACCTTAGTCACATAAGTAAGATAGAAATGGATGGAACTTAGCCCTTGCAGTGTATCAGTTCTTTGAACTCCTAAATTATTCATGAAAAAATTACATAGTGACTTATTATAAAATTATTAGCTCCTTCTCAGTTTTGATATGCAAAGAATTGGAAGTGACCTGACTTGCAAATAGATGCGTTAGAGTCATTCACTTTCTCAATACTTTACACCTGTATTTTCAACTAAAGGCAATATATAGTGATTTTGATTGTGACGCCGTGACCATAGGCACAGTGTGCTAGGAGATTAATTTTAGGAAAGAATATGTAAGGATGCTCAAAGTCTGCAAGTTGAGTACTTTAAAACTATTTTTCCATGGTGCCCGTAGTCTTTGTGTACTCCCAAGGGTAAGGGCACACCCGTTAGAAGACTCCTAGCCTAGAGTGGGAGCCCTGGTGGCGCTGTGGTTAAGAGCTCAGCTGCTAGCCAAAAGGTTGGCAGTTTGAATCCACCAGGCACTCCTTGGAAGCCCAGTAGGACAGTTCAGCTCCATCCTATAGCGTCGCTATGAGTTGGAATTCACTCGATGGCAACAGGTTAGCCTAGAGTGGTCTTGTGGTGTACAAGTTACTCTTACATTGGGGCTGTAATTAAACCCGAGCATACTTAACATGGTGTCTTAGGCTGGGTTCTCTAAAGGAGCAAGACCAGTGAAGCATATGTTGTGTTGTTGTTAGGTGCCACTGAGTCAGTTCCGATTCATAGCGACCGTTTGTACAACAGAGTGAAACACTGCCCGGTCCTGTGCCATCCTCACAGTCATTGCTATGTTTGAGTCCATTGTAGTAGTCCATCTTGTTGATGATCTTCCTTTTTTTAGTGAAGTGTATATAGGGATATTTGTCTCAAGGCAATGGCTCATGCAGTTGTGGAGGCTGGCAAATCCCAAATCCATGGGTGAGGTATCATGCCAGAGGCTTCTGCTGACTGATGTGGTTGTGGGGGCTGACGAATTTGGAATCGGCAGGTCAGGTGAAAGGATGCTGGTTCACGGGGTTGCGGAAGCTGGTGAATCCCAAAATCTGCAGGTCAGGCGGAAGGCTGCTGGCTCACAGGGTTGCGGGAGCTGGCGAATCCCAAGATCTGCAGGTCAGGTGGCAGGCTGCTGGCTCACGTCCCAAGAACTGGAGGACAGAGGATGACGGGTCCGATACAGGATCCAGAGCACACGAGCTTTGCCAGAATATCTGTATGTATTGGCTGCAAGCCACACCCCCAAGGAAACTGCCTTTTCAACTGATTGGCTCTCACGTCAGATCACAAAATGGGGGATGACAACAGCAGATCAAAAAATGAAGGATGATTACATCATTACATAACTGCCAAACCACTAAGAATCATAGCTCAGGCAAGTTGACACACAACCTTAGCTATCACACGTGGGGACTGCTAATACTTTAGATGTAAATGCTAATGTCTACAACTATTTTAATCTTATTTGCATTTAATATCATTGAGTTACTGGAACTCAGTCCTTAGAAACTAAAAGCTCATCTCTTGGAGTTTTCAGAACATTGGTAAGTAATAAAGATCATGCTTGCATAGAATGATCCTGATGATTTTTACTACCCATTCTAAATACCTGGGACTGTGCTTTTGAGGGCCTCTTTGGGAGATTCTCCCAAAATTGTTTAGTGCAAGAATGAAAGGATGATTGAATCAGGTTTGAAGGGTAACCCAGGAACATCTGGTAACTTAAGATCATCAAATAAGGGCATTCTTTTTATTTGCTAGAAATAACCAATAACAGCGTGGAAGGGTTTGTTTCAAGTGAACCTGCTTTGATACTGAGGATGGGCTGAGTTGGTTAATACCTACTCTTCTACTTGTTAAAAATTTTGCTAGCCAGAAGTTTTCTGAATCATTGAATTGGGGGTCACTGTGGGTAAAGCCTCTCTTCTTTTTATCTTTATAGAGACTGGAGGAAAACAGGAGAAGGATTTTGCCAAGACAACAAATGCTTGTTTAGATTTGATCCAAGAAGCTCTGCTAAAACACCAGTGGCAGAAAGCTGCAGAGTATATGCATAGTTATCTTCAGATCTTGGAAGATTCAGATACCAGCAAAAGGCAGGCTGCCCCTGAGGTAAACAAAGTGTCCCTGTGCTGGAAGAAATTAGATTCCTGGGGGTTTCTGCCTCTGGAGCTTACCATAGTAGCTTTCTAGAATCCCAGATTGATATTACCAAAAACTCCTGAAAGTCAGTTTGGGTGTAGAGTTTGTATCAGAATGTTTTTTGTACACTTCTTTTTACTTACTATCATTTTAAAGGAGACTAAAATACTTTGAGCTCTAAATTCTTAGATTCTCCAATATTCATTCATTCCAATAATTTTTTCTCTTTCTACAGAATGTTTCCAGTCATCATACAAATGTTATTTCTTCCATCTTAAAAATCATCTCTTGACCCCACACCCCCACCAGCTGTGCCTTATTTTTCAACTTCGCCTTTCAGCAAAACTCCTTGAAAGGGGTGAATATACCTATTCTCACCAGACTCTCTCCTGTTAGGCTCCCTCTACACTCAGCAACACCATTTCAACCCAATTGTTTAGTGAAGGTCAGCAATGACCTCTGTATTGCTAAATCTGGTAGTCAGTTCTTGGTGCTCGTCTCCTTGATCTGTCAACAATATTAACATAGTGGCTCACTCCCTCCTGTGTGATAAACTTTCCCTGTTTGACTTCCAGGACACTGCACTTCCCCTTCGTTGTCCCTCCTGCCTCACTGACTCTTCCTCAGTCCTGCTTGCTGGCTGCTCCTCTTCTCCTTGGCCTTTTGACTTAGGAGTGCCCCAGGGCCCAGTCCTTCCTCCTCTTCTTTATCTTTACTCACTCTCAGTTAACTCATTCAGTTTCGTCACCTTGAATGTAATCTGCTCATGATTCCCAGTTGTATATCTCTGGCCCTGACTGCACTCTTCATTTTCAGATTCCTATATCCAGCTGTCTACACCACATCACCGCTTGGATATTTAATGATCTTCTGGTCTTCACCGTTAAGCCTAATCTTTTGTACCTCAGATGGTTGCTTTATTTTTTATTTCTCTAGTTGCTAGGGCTGAAAACTCTGGGTCATCTTTTTCTCTCATGTACTCCATAACCAAACCATCAGAAAATCCTGTTGGCTCTTCCGTCAAAATATTGTAATCTAAATACTCACCCCCTCCTTTGCTGCATGTTGTTCCAAGCCCCTGTTAACTCACCTGGATGACTGCTTTCCCTCCTCCCCGCCTCCATCTATTTTCAGCACAGCAGCCAGAGTGATCTCCCTCCCTTTTTAATCAGCTTTACTGAGATATAATTCTCATAACATACAGTTCACCCATTAAAATGTCAATTCACTGTTTTGTTTTTAGTTTATTCACAGGGTTGTGTAACCATCACTGCAGTCAATTTTAGAACATTTTCATTCCCTAAAAACAAACCTTGTACCCATTAGCAGTTACTCCTCGTCCCCAATACCCAGCCCCTGGCAATCACTGATTTCCTTTCTGCCTCTAGATTTGCATATTCTGGACATTTCATACAAATGGAACCATATAACCTATGATATTTTGTGACTGGCTTCTTTCACTTAGCATATTTTCAAGATTCATGCATATTGTAGCATGTATCAGTACTTTATTCCTTTTTATGGCTGAATAATATTCTATTGTATGGTTATACCACATTTTATTTATCCATTCATCAATTGATGGACTTTTGCGTTGTTTCCACTTTTTGGATATTATGAATAATGCTGCTGTGAGTCATGTACAAGTTTTTGTGTGGATGTATGCTTTCATTTCTCTCGGGTATATACCTAGGAGTGGAATTGCTGTGTCATATAATAACTCTGTATTTAACCTTTTGAGGAACTTCCAGACTGTTTTCCTAAGTGGCTACACCATTTTACATTCCACTGGCAATGTCTGAGGGTTCCAGTCTTTTCACATCGTTCCCAGGACTTATTGTCTGTTTGGTTCTAGTCATCCTAATGGGCATGAAGTAGTATCTCATTGTGGTTTTGATTTGCATTTCTCTAAAGACTAATGTTGCAAAGTGGTCTTTTTAAAACGTAAGTCAGATCATATCACGCCTCTGCTGAAAACACTAGTAGTGCCCCATTTCACTCAGAGGAAAAGCCAGTGGTTAAACAGCTGTCGGTGAGTTCCAGCACGATCTCATCACTCCTTTCCCCACTCGACCTCTCTGACCTCCTCCTCTGTCTCTCCCTTTGCTTGCTGTGCTCCAGGCTCACTGGCCTCCTTGCTGTTCCTTGAAGAGGCCAGGCGTGTTCCTGCCTGATTGCTTTTCCCCAGCTTTTCTTTACTTGGAAAGGTCTTTCTTCAGCTACCACTCTGGCTGCCCTCCTTCAGGTCGCCTCTGTAATGTGGCCTACCACAACTACTCTGTTTAGAATTGCAGCCGTACACTATCGCTTCCGTTTCCCGACTGGCACTCCTGATCCCCTTACCACTCTTCCTGATCCTTCCTATCCCTTCCCTTTACATGACCCCCTGCTCTGTTCTTTTTTCTACAACACTTGTCACCTTCTAACCTATTACATAATTCACTTACGTTTCTTGATTATTGCTTGTGTCTGCATAGTAGAGTATATATTCCACAAGGGCGGGAATCCGGTGTATCCGCAGCCTCTGGAGCACTGTCTGCCACGTACTGTTAACGTTGTTTAGCAAAGACAGTTCCTACACAAAGTTCGCATGAGTATCTTAAATAGCTTCTGTTAATACAGTGGAGCCCTGGTGGCGCAGAGGTTAAGAGCTCGGCTGCTAACCGAAAGGTCAGCAGTTTGAATCTACCAGCTGCTCCTTGGAAACCCTATGGGGCAGTTCTACTCTGTCCAGTAGGGTCGCTATGAGTAGGAATCAACTTGAAGGCAGCGGGTTTTTTTTTAAATTAATGTAGTAACCATAGCATCAGTTAGATATGTGGTAGTGCCAAGAAAAAAATTTAACCTTTGATTGAAAAGTTTATGGACGAAAGTCACATATAGTGGTTAAACATTCAACATGTTATAGGCTGTTTTTGTCCCGAATTTGTTTTGTAAAATAAAAGAATTGGATCAGTGATTTCCAGACAGATTGTCTCTATTTGAATCATTTAGGCTTTTTGTTGAAAATGTAGATTTCTGTGTTCCACCCTAGTCCTACTGAATCAGAATCTGAATCACTAGAATATTTATTTTTAACAAGTGGTCATCTAGTTTCAAGGACTGTAATAGATGATCTCCAAGTTTTCTTTAAGCTCCCAAACACTGTAGTTTGGTAGTCTACAAAGGAAATCATGTTTGATTTTCCTGAGTTGGGAAGATGAGTATTATAATTATACCAAAAAACCAATATGTATATTTATAGGAAGAATTGATTCAATAATTTATTTATTATAATTCAGTTCTTAAATCCACTCTGAAGTCTATATTGAAATAATTTAAATTGTAGTAAGAGAAAAGTAGAGATTCACTCCCATAAAAAAGAAGAGCTCCAGGTCTGTCACCCAAGGTTCTGGTCATCTGGGGAGAAAATATATTTTTATTAAAATTTATCCATTGTTGATGAAAATTCTGAAATTAGAGTTCCATATATAGATATAATTTATCGACAAGAATTGTAGAGCTTGAAGGGATTTAAGAAAACATCTAGTCCATTGTCCTCATTTTACAGATAATAAAGATGAGGCCAAGAACAGTGAAGAACTAACATCACTATAATGCAGGTTTTCTCACTTTAATATTCTTCCTCCTAATGAAATTTTTTTTATTTTCGGTACGTATCCTAACCACCTATCTTCATTAAACTACTTATTTAAAGGCCATACTCTATTAGTTATCTGGTGTCCCTGGGTTGTGCACACTATTGAGCACTTGGCCGCTAACCAAAAGGTTGGAGGTTTGAGTCCAGCCAGAGGTACCTCAGAAGAAAGGCGTGGTGGTCTGTTTCCCAAAAATCACCCATCGAAAACCCTATGGAGCACAGTTCTACTCTGACACACACAGATTTGCCATGAGTCAGAGTTGACTTGATGGCAACTGATTAATTATAGTTACCTAGTACAGGTGGAAACCCTGGTGGCGTAGTGGTTAAGAGCTGTGGCTGCTAACCAAGAGGTCGGCAGTTTGAATCCACCAGTCAGTCTTTGGAAACTCTATGGGGCAGTTCTGCTCTGTCCTGTAGGGTCGCTATGAGTTGGAATTGACTCGACAGCAATGGGTTTGGTTTTGGTTTTTTGAGTACAGGTAGTCCCCAGTTTACAATGTGGTTCCGTTCCAACAACCCTATTGTAGGTCGGTTCTGACATAAGTCAAATGCCTCAATTTTTTTTAAGTTTTCATTATTATTGCCGTAGTCTGCTATATGGCAATATATTCAACACTTTTTGAATGGTAAATGATAACATTGAACATCTGTGAGTGAACATCTGAGAATGATAACATCAGTAATTTACATGCTGTAAAATTGTATGCAGTACATATTACTAATGATAAGATGTACCAAAAAAAAAAAAAAGATGGCTGTAAGTATGGTTCGGCATAACTCAAATACGTCGTAAGTCAGGGCCTACTTGTGTTTTAATATTAATCAGCTGAAAAGATTTTATCACCTAAGATACATTCACTGGGTAAAGCACAGTAAAATATTAACAGTGATATCTAGGAAAATAAATTATAGGTTGTTTTTTAATATTATAACCAGAGAAAGAAATTTAAAAATAGCTTTCTCAGAAATTGGTTAAGGCAAGGATTTTACATTTTGGTAGTGATTTCTGTGTTGACAGATTATTTGGAGGCTCGGAAGTGAGATTCTATACTATCATCCCAAGAGCAACGTGGAGACTTTCAGTACCTTTGCTGACCGGATGAAAAATATTGGTGTCATGAATTACTTAAAGGTGAGTGTGGGTTTTATGAATTTACACTTGTAGTGTTAATTTTTTTAGTTGCTTGTTTCACTGATAAGGTAGGTAATAATGTAAAAAGCATGGGCAGAAAGATAAAAGACACCTGGATAAGTAAAAGAAGCTGAAAGAAAGTAGTGTCGGTCATTTAATTCTTGGTTTCTAGTTGCCTTCCACGTTCTCTAACTGAAAATACCTTCTCTTTGTATATCTCTGTCAGTCACTCTAATCACACTGCCTCTTGTTTGTATGTTTATATAAGTAGTTCTTATTTACATCATTTTAATTGTTTATGTTTTCTTCCAGGTTACATAAAAACTTTGATCACAGAGACTATGTTGTTACGTTAGTTGTAGCCTACCAAGGTCTTAGCCCAGCATATATCATATATTGACCTTTCAGGAGATATTGAGAGCTTTTTGACTAATGGTTATCTAATGATCTGTATTACCATTGTTGCAGATCTCCTTACAACATGCATTGTACCTCTTACATCACGGGATGCTTGAGGATGCAAACAGAAATCTAAGCCAGGCAGAGACATGGAGATATGGTGAAAAGTCATCTTCCCAGGAAATATTAATCAACCTTATTCAGGCCTATAAAGGGCTTTTGCAGTATTATACTTGGTCTCAGAAGAAGATGGAATTGTCTAAGCTTGGTGAGTGAAATGAGCGAGCTTTTTCTTAGGATGAGACTGAATCATAGGGGGCAGAGGGAATTTTAAGAAGTAATCTAGTAATACCCCTACTTCCAAGCCTAACTGACTCAGATATTACAGAGAATTGACAGTTCTATTACGGTCAGCTTCATCCTTTATTATATTTCTGATATATCAAAAAGGCTTTATGTTTTTTAGATGGCTCATAAATTAAGTGCATGGCATTTTATTTTCCTTTTTTAAACCTGAATTCATAAAAAGTTACAAATTTTCTTCAATAGACGTTATTGAATATAATAGACACTTCTTTCTGTGTTTAGAATGATGTTTGTTTTATAGTGTTGTTTCTCAGAATAATATGTTTAAAGAGTATGGCAAAATAAAGTCATTTTATTTCTGTGCAAAGACCATACCAGACAATTCCTTGGTTTACCTACCACACTAGGAATTGAACATGTGTCCCTACTTCTCAAACTGGGATTGCTGGATCATATGGTATTTCTATTTCTAGCTTTTTAAGGAAGCACCATATTGTTTTCCAAAATGGTTATACCATTTTGCATTCCCACCAGCAGTGCATAATAGTTCCAGTCTCCCCGAAGCCTCTCCAGCATTTGTTATTTTCTGTTTTTTTGATTCATGCCAGTAATGCCAGGGTGAGATGGTATCTCATTGTGATTTTGTTTTGCATTGGCTAGTGATTGCAAGCATTTCCTCATGTGTCTGTTAGCTGCTTGAATGTCTTCTTTGGTGAAGTGTCTGTTCATTTCCTTTGCCAATTTTTTAATTGGATTATTTGTCTTTTTGTTGTAGAGGTGTTGGATTTTCCTGTAGATTTTAGAGATTAAACCTTTGTCGAATTTGTAATAGCAAAAAATTTTTTCCTAGTCTGTACGTTCTCTTTTTACTCTTAGTGAAGTCTTTTGATGAGCGTAAGTGTTTAATTTTTAGAAGATCCCAGTTATCTAGCTTATCTTCTGGAGTTTGTGTGTTGTTAGTTATGGCTTGTATCCTGTTGATGCCATGTATTAGGGCCTCTAGTGTTGATCCTATTTTCTCTTCTATGATCTTTGTAGTTTTTGTTTTTATATTTAGGTCTTTGATCCATTTTTTGTATGGCGTGAAATGTGGGTCCTGTTTCATTTTACTCTGTTTAACCTTTTGAGGAACTTCCAGACTGTTTTCCAAAGTGGCTGCACCATTTTACATTTCCACTATCAGTATATGAGGGTTCCAGTTTCTGCACCTCTTTCCCAACACTTGTTATTGTCTGTCTTTTTGGTTATAGCCATCCTAGTGAATGTGGAGTAGTATCTCATTGTAGTTTTGAATTTGCATTTCCCTAATGACTAATGGTGGTGTAGTGGTTAAGAGCTTGGGCTGCTAATCAAAAGGTTGACAGTTCGAATCCACCAGCCACTCCTTGGAAACCCTATGGAGCAGTTCTTCTCTATCCTGTAGGGTCACTATGAGTCACAATAGACTGGACAGCAACAGGTTTAATGACTAATGATGTTGAATTTCTTTTCATGTGCTTATGGGCCATTTGTATATTTTCCTTGGAGAAATGTGTATTCAGATCCTTTGCTCATATTTTGATTGGGCTATTTGTCATTTTATTATTGAGTTGTAAGTGTTCTTTATATATTCAAGATACAGATCCCTTATCAGATATATCAGATTTATGATTTGCAAATATTTTCTTCCATTTTGTGGGTTGTCTTAGTTTTCTTGAATAGTATTATTTGTCTTTAAATGTTTGTTAGAATTGAACAGTGAAGCCACCAGGCCTGAGCTTTTCTTCATGGATAGTTTCTTGATTACTAATTGAACAGAAGTCCTCAACACTGAATGACTTTTTAAAACCTTATCTTTGGGCAGATGAGGAAGATTATGCTTACAGCACAGCGACCCAGAATATGCTTAACCACAGCTGTAAGACATCTGTAAATCTTGGTGCATTGATTCAAATTCCTGGAGTTTGGGACCCTTTTGTGAAGAGTTATGTAGAGGTATGTAGACTTTCCATAAGTGTTACTAGCTTCATTTTTTTGGTAAGCCTATGCCTCATCTTTATTGATCAGAAGAAAACTAATGGAGAGAATTATAGTAAAAAAGAATATGGTCTTTCTTTTTAAGTTGTCTGAGTAATTTCTTTTATTTTACTAATACACTGTTAATGTTACTTTGTCCTTATTTCCACCAGTCGATAACCTGCTGTGACCAAATGCTAATAAATAAATAGAAATATAGATATATAGAAATATATATATAATATAGATATATGAATAGAAATGTTGTAAATTTTAGTTCTTTACTCTTGTTGAGCTTCAAAGACTAGCAGAAAGATTTTTTATGATTTGAAGAGGTTTATAGAAGGGAAGAGAAGAAAAATCTGAAACTGGGTCACAGTGTATGAGATGTAGTATAATGGCTGTCAGGAAGTTCATAATGATGTCCTTTCATCCCAGAGTCATTGTGGAAGGTAGAGTGCCTTGACACTGGCCACTAGAAATAAGTCTGGAAAATAATTTACTCGATAAAAGTTTGACGAGTACTGAAGTAATAATTGTGCTGTCAGAAGATAATTTCCGAAACTATATGGCAGTGAATCTGGGAGTTCCTGTGTAACGATGTCAACAAAATGAAAGAAGCTGTAATCCGTGTACCCCTTTGCGGCTGAAGTTATGCAGGGCACTGAGGTTAGCTGCATCATGTGATCTTTTTCCAGTTGTTAGTGTGCCCTGCTTTGAGGACTTTATTTCTTATTATAGGAACAGTTCTCATGTTGAAGTTTCTGCATTTTTCAGTAGCAAAATACCATAAGGAAAAATGGGAAACCATGTCAGCCTTTGTTATAAGTGAGTTTCTGTGTTCCGTAAAACTTGTAACATACGCTGGTGAAAGCAAAAACTGGCATTTCTGTTACTCCCTATACAGTCCTATTGGTCAGTTTGGTGATTTTTAGTATCCATCAGTAAAGTTTATTTTTCATATAGCCATTGACAGAATCTAGCTAAGCTGTTCCGACTTATTTTTATATAGATGCTGGAATTCTATGGGGATCAAGATGGTGCCCGAGAGGTCCTCACCAATTACGCGTATGATGAAAAGTTCCCATCAAATCCAAATGCCCATATCTACTTATACAACTTCCTAAAGAGAGAGAAGGCACCAAAAGAGAAACTGATAAGTGTGCTTAAGGTATAGAATTTTTTATTTCAGTGTTTAAACAGGGCTGGGGGTTCTCCTTTAAAGTGTTTTAGGTCATTGCTTTTCAACTTGCATATTATAGCATACGTAGAAAATTACACTGGGGTAAACAGAGTATACTACTCACAGCTGAAGCATCCAGGCAGATTTCCCTCGCCCCCCATATGGGACTGAGGGGAAAAGATCAGTATTTCAGCACTGCCTTGCCACCCTGCTTGGAAAGCACTGCATTGATATTTTTTGAAAATCAGCTTTATTGAAATATAATTTACATACAGTAAAATGCACTTATTTTAAGGTACAGTTGGAGCACTTTGACAAATATATATATTCACGTAACCACTATGATAGCCTAGATATAGGACATTTCCATCACCTTAGTACATCCCCATATTTCCCTTTGTGGCCAATCTATCCTGCGCACTCCCAACGCCAGGCAATCACTGATCTGCTTTCTGTCACTGTAGATTAATTTCACCTTCTCTAGAATTTCATGTCAGTGGAATCTTACCGTATGTACTCCTGTGCCTGGCTTCTCTTGCTCAGCATAAATGTTTTTGTGATTCGTATGTGTTATTGCATGTATCAGTAATTTGTTCCCTGTTGTTGAGTAGTAGTCCTATTTTATACATTCAGTTCTTGACGGACATTTGAGTTATTTTTACTCTTTGGCTATTATGAATAATGCTGCTAGGAACATTCAAGTACAAGTCTGTGCTCACATATATTTTCATTTCTCTTGGGTATCTACCTAGGAGTGGAATTACTGGCTAAAGTATATGTTTAACTTTTTAAGAAACTACCCAGTTGTTTTCTGAAGTAACTGTACCATTGACACTTCTACCAGCAATGTATGAAAGTTCAGTTTTTCCACATCCTGGCCAAGACTTGGTATTATCAGCCTTTTGAATTATAGCCATCCTAATGAGTATGTGCGTCTGACCCAAGCCATGGTGTTTTCAATGGCTTCATATGCATGCGAAAGCTGGACAGTGAATAAGGAAGCCCGAAGAAGAACCGATATCTTTGAGTTATGGTGTTGGTGAAGAATATTGAATATGCCATGGACTGCCAAAAGAACGAACAAATCTGTCTTGGAAGAAGTACAGCCAGAATGCTTCTTAGAAGCAAGGATGGCAAGACTACATCTCACATACTTGGGACATGTTATCAGGAGGGATCAGTCCCTGGAGAAGGACATCATGCTTGGTAAAGTAGAGGGTCAGTGAAAAAGAGGAAGACCCTAAGGAGATGGATTGACACAGTGGCTGCAACAGTGGGCTCAAGTATAACAGTGATTGTGAGGATGGCGCAGGACCAGGCACTGTTTCGTTCTATCGTACGTAGGGTCCTTATGAGTCAGAACCAACTGGACGGTACCTAACAACAGCAGTGGGTATGTAGTGGTATTTCATTGTGGTTTTAATTTTCATTTCCTTAATAACTAATAATGTTGAGTATCTTTTGATGTGCTATTAGCCCATTTTCTTTTGTGAACTATCTGTTCAAGTATTTTGTCTGTTTTGGGGGATGTTATTTATCTTATTGATTTGGAAGAGTTGTTTTTAATATAATAGGGTATACTTTTTTTTTCCCAAGGTATATGAGTTTTAAATATTTTCTCCTAGTCTGTGACTTGTCTTTTTGTTTTCTTAACAGTGTCTCACAAAATGCAGAATTTTTTAATTAATGATGAAATCCAGTTTATGCATTTTGATTTTTTTTTTTTTCTTTTGGGGTTAGTGCTTTTTTGTTTAAGAAATCTTTGCCCACTGCAAGATAATGGAGAGTCTCTCCTATATTTTTTTTCTAGCAGTGTTATAGTTTTATGTTTAGGTCTATGATAGATTTTCAGCTCATTTTTATCGGGAGTGAAGTGAGGGTCAAGGTTCATTTTTTCCATGTGGTTGTTCCAGCACCATTTATTGAAAAGACTATCCTTTCCCCATTGAATTACATTGGTAGCTTTGTTAAAAATCAGTTGACCACATATATGGACTGTTGTGTTCTTGTGGTGTATATTTCCATCCTTATACCAATACTGTGTGTCTTGATTACTGTAGCTTTATAGAAAGTCTTGGAATCAGGTCCTGAAAGTTATACAAATTTAAACTTGTCTTCCTTTTTCAAAATTATTTTTGGATTTTATAGGTCCTTTGAATTTCTATATACATTTTAAAATCAGCTTGTCTGTTGCTAAAAATCCTCTTGGGGTTTTGAATCTATAGCTCAGTTTGGAGAGAATATCTTGATACTGAGGTGTTCAAACTGTGAAGATGGTGTGTATCTGCCTTTATTTAGGTCTTTAATTTTTCTCTGAGATATTTTTAGTTGTTTTTCTCTGAGATATTTGTAGTTGTAGTATAGGTGTTTAATTATTTATTTTTATTGTGATAAAATATCCACAACATAAAATCCACCATTTTAGCCGTTTTCACATGTACAATCCATTGGTATTAATCCCACTCACAATGTTGTACAACTGTCACCACTGTTTGTTTCCAAAACTTTTTCATCACCCCAAACAGAAACTCTGTACCCATTAAGCAATAACTCCCCACTCTCCCCCTCTTCCCAGGCCCTGGTAACCACTAATCTACTTTCTGTCCGTACATATTTATCTGTTCTAGGTTTTTAATATTTTTTAGTGGTTGCTGGAGTAATTATAAAACACATCTTTCAGTTTATCACAGTTTACTTGAGTTAATATTGTGCTGCATTACATGAAATACAGCATCCTTTCAGCAGTATAGTTTTATTTACCACCTTGTCCTTTAATTTATAGTTGTCATCTTTTTTATGTGTATCAGAAACCCTATACTGTAAGTTTTTTTTTAAATTCAAACAGCCACATGCCTTTTAAATAAATTGTTAATAGAATAAATGTATGTATATCATTTATTTTCATCTGCATATTTATCATTTTGAAGGTCTTCTTCATTTCTTCCTCCAGATAGGTGTTTCCGTATGATGTCACTTTCTTTCAGTCTTTTAGCATTTCTTGTCCTACAGGTCTGCTGGCAACACTTTTCTGAGTCTTTTTATGTTATCTTCAGTTTTTGAAAGATGGTTTTACTGGATGTAGAATTCTGGGTTGACTTTCTTTTTTATTTCTGTAAGTATTATGTTGTTACATTGTTTTTCTGTTGTTTTGATGAGAAATAAGGTGTCGTTTTATCTTAATTCCCTGTGTATTGTGCTTGTTTCCTGTGGCTGTTTTCAAGGTTCCTGTATTTGTCTTTGGATTTCAGACTCCGATGAGCCTAGGGTTTCCTTTTATTTATCATGGTTGAGGTTTGCTAAGCTTTTCTTTGATTTTTAAATTGGTGTTTTTTCAGCAAATTTGGGAAGTTTTCAGTCAGTATTTTGTCTTATACTGTATTTTTGTCTGTCTCCTGTACATCTGGAAATATGTAATACCCCTTGCATAGTTAGCTGAGTGTATTTTCCTTGGGCAGAGCCATGCATGGAACATTTTGAGTAAAAACACTGGAGATATATACATTGATTCTGAATTGCTGAAGACACCAAGAGCAGTTTCTTTTACTTCTTTTAAATGTAGAACTGATTAAATTACAAAAATTAGACTGAGAAAAATCCTCATTTCTCAAGCTTCTGTTAAAAGACCAATTAGTTCTAAAGTATACTTTCACACTCATCAAAATCAGTTTATCCTATCGGACCTTCAGATGTGGAAACTGTATGTTTATAAATTTCCAGCAGGCTTTGTTTTATTAAGCATACTACTTTTAAAGTTGCTGTTTTAATTCTACTCTTCAAAATATCCTTTTGACCCATTTATACAATGAAATATTAAGGATAGTTAAAAACAAAAGCAAGACAGTACCTTCACTTGGGTTGCCAGTCATTAAGAGTGTTTTTGAAAAGATTTTAACATGTTATAAGAAACAGCTAAAACGATTAAACTCTTGGAAGAAAACATAGGGGTAAATCTTCATGACCTTGGATTTGGCAAAGGATTCTTAATTATGACACCGAAAGAATGAACAACAAAAGAAAAAAACAGATAAACTGGTACGTTAGTAATAACAGACATAAGGCCAATTCCCAGAATGGGAAGATAACTCACATCCCCGTTTTCCCACTTCTTCTTCTCTGACACCAGCCATCCATGTGGCGTTTTCTCTCTTTCTGACCCTAACCACCCAGAGTTAGGTCTTTACAAAACGACACCTGGTCAGCCTCTTCTGTCCACCAACCACCCAATGCTGGGTCCTCACAAGTTAGAAAGACTCTGTCCTAGAATTCTAATCAACTGCACAAATAGGCAGATAGATACCAGGCCCTGCTGGTCCTCATTGCCCCCAGTGGGTTTTATAATTTGATAGAATGACTCACAGAACTCACAGAAAGGGCGATCCTCACTATAACTTTTTCCGTATAACCACAGGAGCATATAAACAAAAAGATGCACAGGCGAGGTCTGGGAGGAGTTTTCCACAGGGAGCTCCATGTTGCCAGAAACGTGCAGATATTCCCACGTTCATCATCAATCTGGAAGCTCAAAGGAAGTTCCAAGATCCAGAGTTCTTTATAATAGTCTTTGAGGCCTGAGTGCATATGCATGACTGGTGCCTCATCGATTATGCATGATTAATCAAATAAATGAATATGCTTTATTTGTTGCATCATGCTCCCCCGCCCGAAAGTTATCTCCCAGGTGTGGTCTTTAGGATTCCTGCTACATTTGTACATGTTTACGTGTTGCCTATCTATTTTAGAAAACAGAGGCACCTTGATTGCTGGCAAATTCCAAAGGTTATTTTCAGACAAAAGGCCGAATTGAGTTCTTTGTCCCACACAACTGGATTTCATCAAAATTAAAACCTTTTGTGTTTCAAATGAAGCCATTATGGAAAGTGAAAAGGCAGGCCACAGAATGGGAGAAAATGTTTGCAAATCATATGTTTGATAAGGGACTTATATCTAGAATATATAAAGAACTCTTACAACTCAATAATAAAAAGACAGATGTAAAAAATGGCAAAAGATCTGAATAGATGTTTCTCCAAGAAAGGTATGCAAATGGCCAATATGCACATTAAAAGATACTTGAGCAAATCAAACCATAATGAGATACTACTTCACACCCTCTAGGATAGCTAGACTCAAAGACAGACAATAACAAGTCTCGGCAAGGATGTGGAGAAATTAGAACTCTCATCACTGCTAGGTGGCACAAACTGTTTGCTCTCAACTACTAACTTAAAGGTTGGCGGTTCAAACCTACCAGGCAGCACCGTGGAAGAAAGGCCTGGCAATCTGCTTCCATAAAGATTACAGCCAATAAAACCTTATGGATCAGTTCTACTCTGTAACACATGCGTGTTGCCATGAGTTGAAATTGACCTGAGTTGGAATTGACTTGACGGAAATGGGTTTGGTTTGGTTTTCTTCATACACTGCTGGTGGAATGGAAAATGCTGTTGAGTAGATTCCAACTCACAGTGACCCTGTAGGGCGGAGTAGAACTGCCCCAAAGGGTTTTCAAGGCTGTAAATCTTTACAGAAGCAAACTGCCACATCTTTCTCCCTTGGAGTGGCTGGTGGGTTTGGACCTCCAACCTTTCAGTTAGCAGCTGAGCACTTTAACCGCTGTGCCACCAGGACTCCATAAGTATATAAGGCCCCCATCTGTTTCCCAAATTCTACTGGTGATCTTGTTATTAGCGAATTTTTTTTTTTTTTTAAGCTTTATAGGGAACTGCTTTCTATACCCAAATTGAAAGTGAACAAAAGCAAATTATCTTCTAAATCCTTGGTTTATTTACTGAGAGCATATTAGACAACAGCTTTCTTTGAAAGCAGGCTGAAGTTTCAAAATGCCCAGAGTCTGTAAAAATGACAAAATTATTCTGTCTTCTAGATTTTGTACCAGATTGTGCCATCTCATAAACTGATGTTAGAATTCCATAGAATACTTAGAAATTCAGGTAAATACTTTTTGGTTTATACCTCTTTATTCAGACAAGCTATAGAACAGGGGCTGGCAAACTGTAACCAGTGGGTAAAATCCACCCCCAAATAAAGTTCTCTTGGAACACAGCCACACTCGCTCGTGTATGTATGTCTGTGGAGGTTGTCTCACTACGGTGGCAAATTTGAGAAGTTGTGACTGACCGTGTGGACCAGCAAGTCTGCAATGTTTACTCTCTGACCCTTCCCAGGAAGTTTGCTCACCCCTGCTGTAGAACATAGACAATGGTTAACAAAAGAGAAAAGTCTTCAATTTATATAATTCACCTCATTTTAATCTCTACTAGGCTTCAGCTCAGCATAGAAAAGAACATATTTCTTCATTGAAGACAGTCAGCTCAGTAAGCTCAGTTGGCATTGGGATGGCCTGCATCCCTCTACTAATAGAAGAGAACATATAGAACATGGCCAAATCGGGCAACTACTTTAAATAAGTTCTCAGTAATGTGTAAACAGAGGAGTATAACCCAGGGTGGGGGATCAGACCTTATTAGCATGGACTAAATTATTGAAATCATCAGATTCATCACAGGACAGTATCAGCATAATGAGGTGTTTTAAACTTTTGACCAAACTAGAAGGCTTATGACTCAGCGATATTTTATCAGCTATGTATATATTTTTTAGCTTTGTGTACTTCACAAAGTATGTAAACTTGAACTGGTTTGATTATTGCAGAAAAAGAAGAACACCGTAAACTGGGGCTGGAGGTATTATTTGCAGTCTTAGATTTTGCTGGCTGCACTAAAAATATAACTGCATGGAAGTATTTGGCAAAATATCTGAAACAGACCTTAATGGGGTGAGTAGGAAACACACAGTGTTTATTACTGGACCAGCGTAAGTAGTATTTCTCAATATTTTAGCTAATACCTATGAATTTTTATATAAAGTTCTTTGCTTATGTTTTTGGGTTTCTTGAACTGTGTCTTCAGCTGTCTTTTTATGAGTACATCAGAGCAAGGAAATACAAAGACAGAAGCATAACTTACAAAAATTCTCTCAAGATTTGTGTATTCTATTAATATAAGTGCTCTACCTTAGCACTGCACTGCTAGGGAATAAGTATGTATTTTCACATTGGAAATAAGAATGAAGAGGGATCACCTCCACTCTTTGCTAAAGACTCTTTGTGAAACTTGTTGTGAAGACTCGATTTCTCCCATGATAGGCAAGTGTGTTGTCAGCTTCTAAGATCACAGTGGAGGCAGTTTTCAGCGTGATTTTTAGAGCCTCACAAGGTAATCACTGGTTATTCATTCAACAAGTATTTGTCAAGTCCATTGTGAGCTGGGTATCAGAAAAATCATACCTCTGCTGCTAGTATCATTAGTGCCACATTGTGAATAAGAAGAGGAGCGACTTTCTTGTCAGTTTTGCTTGGTGTATAAGAAGGGGTATCACAAAATTAAGTTTCTTTTGTTTAGTGTATCCATTTCAGTTGGTTAGAAAATTCAGCGTCAGTGGGAACTTGTTTCAGACTTCAAATCTGACTTGACCTTGGAGATAAAACAGTGCTGAAAAGAAGATGTTTAGTGTGATATGTTGGTGCACTCACTGTAAACTACTTTTTAAGTCTAAAGCAGTACATAAACCTAGACTGTAAGGTTCTTGAAGTCAGAGAAGTATACTATTCATTTTTGAACCTCTGGAAATTCTGCCGCAGGGAGCGCACAGGTTCTAAATAAGTGTTTGCTAAATTAAATTATTGAAGAGCATTTGACATTCTTGGGTTCAGCTGTCACATCCATGGTGTATTTGTATAATAATGGCAACTAGATTCGGATAGCAACTCTTGGTAGCATATAATTTTAAAGTAAGGTTTTAAAGTAACTTTTAAGTAATAATAATATTTATTAAACATTTGTTATATACCAGACACTATCTAAAGAACTTTATACGAGACCTGCTGTGTTACTGGAACGGTTTCATTTTAATAACAATGCTGTGGGATATGTATCATTAATATTCTCCAGGAAACTAAGGCTCAAGATGTTAAGCAACTTGCCCAGGGTCACATAGATAGTAAGTGGAAGGACTGAAATTTGAATATAGGATTCTGGCTTTAGAGTCTGTGCTCTTAATCACTGTGCTGTACTGAATTGGCTAGTTCGTTAATTGGAAAATGGGATGTGGAAATAAAAGAGAACAAAGAAGATTTGGTTTTTCATACTCTGGCCAGGCATGTGCTATGGCCTGGCATATCTTCCTTGTCATCTTTCCATAGACTCTGCTGAAGTTCAAATTCTGACAGTACAGATCCATCCCCATCAGTGACCTTTCCCTGTGACTTTTTCTTTTCCAGAAGTCATCTAGCATGGGTTCAAGAACAGTGGCACTCCAGGAGAAACTGGTGGCCAACCTTTCATTTCAGCTACTTTTGGGCAAAAAGTGATTGGACGGAAGATAAGGCTTTGGCTTGTGAGAAAGCTTTGGTGGCCGGAATGCTGTTAGGAAAAGGTACATGTCTTTTGTTGTTGTTTGTTTTTTATGTAGACATAGCTTTTGGACAATTTTGAAATAGAAAAGTATGGCCATTTATTCATATTAGAGTGCACCCAGCACTGTGGCCAGGGATGTTAGGTGCTTAAGAAATAACTTGAATGAAACAGTGAATCCTGAGTTGGAACAAGGTGTGATGTGCTTATAAGGTATACCCACGGATAGAGATAGTGATTTCATATTGATTGTGATGGTTTCCGTGTATTCTAACGTGAGGCATTAGGGTATAGGATGCAGTTGGATTCCACAACAAATGACCGTTTCGCCTTGCTGTATAGAAAGTTTACTGAGAGGGTCTACTTTATAAGAAACAGAAAAATATTCTGTATTGACCTCATTGCTCTACACTAGCTCTATGTGTACTTATCTTGTTCCTGGAAGAAAAAGAATTCCACTCCTGTTAAAAAAAAGAATATCTCCCATTAACTTACAAAAAAAGCCTCCTAAAAGAAAAGAGGAATTGATCTTTTCTTTGTAGAATATTTTGGCCAGTAAAACTCTTACCTGCTTTGTACCTGAAATATGAAAAGGTAGGAAGCACTGAAATGAAATTGCTGCAGAATGTGTCCAGAGATGAAGATAAACCTCACAGCAGTCACTGGTCAGCAGTCTGTTCTTCAATTGTTTTAGATACAGCTTTAGTTTGTGTTATTTGGAATGAGCATTCTCAGTGAATGTTTGAGATGGTTACTGAGATGAATAAAATGTTGGTTTTGTGAGAGGAAAGGAATTAATAAAATCACTTGAAATTTTCTCACTAATACACTGATGAAAAGGGACAGAAATGTGATTTTGACTGTGATTTTCTACTACTTTACGAATACTGAGGTATCTCATAGAGTATGTTTGAGCACAGTTAGAAGCCCTGGGTTCATTTTCCCATGCTGTGATGTGACTTACTTGCCTTGTAACCTTTGTGAGCCGTCTCTGAAATGGGCATTGTTTCTCTAGTCCTGCATACAAGATTGTTTAAACATCGAGTCAAAATGCTTTTTAAGTTCTGGAGTATTATACGAACATCAGACATGGTTATGCCTGAAAATGGCCATCTCTTCTGCCGTCAGGGTGGTAGTGTGGGGGTTGAGTCAGTCTCTTTAGGAGTTAATTGAGCTGAGTTGGATTTGTTCTTGCTCTGGTCACCACTGCTCCATCATAGGATTCGAATTCCTCTAGCTGTGGTCTGCTGTTGCTTCGTGCTTAGAGTAGGGGCTGCTAGTGTGGTGGCTGCCGCTTCTTCCCATACTGCGCTACAGGTGAGTCAGTCTGGGCGTCCCAGTTCTCCTCGGAAGGGCCTTTCCTACTTGGAAGTCAGGCTGCTTGGTTGCCCTGTGACTTCAGCTCTCCGTGGGCTTGAAGAGTTAGGACTTTGTATTTTATTTGGCCTTTTCTTGTTGTTAACATAGGAGCGAAGTTCTTTCTATATCTTAGGGGGAAGCAGTAATCTCTGTACAAGGCTATTTTGCTGAAGTGGTATGATGAGTTTAGAAACACAAATTATTTAGGTGACATCATGGAAACTAGTTCTTCTTAGCTAATAAAATAAGGTAATTCTATCTTACTATTTTCAGGGATAATAAAATGGTTACTATAGGCAACCTGTCAACTTCCCAGAGAAGATGGACTGTAATAAAAGTATTTTTTTATATGGGAATTATGGTCTCATTATTCATTTATTGAACATAGAAAATCCTGTTACTTAAAACTTTGTTTTTCTTACAGAAATTGATTTGTTTCTCTGAAATATTTGATAAGTTAAGTGGTTCTTCTAGCATTATAAGACTATGAGGAGCAGGTAGAACTTATAATGAGCATTAGGCATCTTTTTCAGAGCCACGTAATCACCATCTAGTTGCTTGCTAGATGACTAGAATGGATAGATAATATTTGATCTTTTCTAGCCTGGGAATTTCTACAGAGAACTTTAGTATTTTTATAGATGCCTTTTAAGCTGATTTATAAGCTAACATTGAGAGGGAATCTATAGTAATTTGCTCTTGGAGAAAACAGTTGTGGGGTTTTGGGGGCAGGATAGAAAACAAGCTGAAGTACATGTTTTAATTATGATGAATCAGAAACATCTTTGAATTCAGGAAGCAATACATTTCGTTGGTGACAGCTCTTGGACTATGCGTAGAATATATTGGTATAGATAATGCAAATCAATCTATTTTCATAATCATTAGTATGCCAGAGCTGAAGCAAAATGTAAAAATACTTGAAGAATTTGATGATAAGTATTAAAAGTCTGTTTATTTTGTTTTTTAGGTTGTAGATATTTTCGGTACATTTCAAAACAAGGTCATCAAGCCTTAAAGAAAAAAATTAAGCGGATGAACAAATCAGTGAAAAGATACAGTATTGTAAATCCAGGACTCTGATAGTGATTCTAATTTTTATTTATAGAGCCTTGAACAGAGTAGCAGCTTTGTAGATAGTTATTGAATGTGTTTATTTGGTATTTTAAGAAGGTAGTTTATATGGCTTTTAAAAAGTTATTTTTATATTTTTTTATATTCCTTTTACTACCAGTTGTAGCTAGAGAAGCAGCCTCACTGCCTTTGCTCTTTGTAAATATATATTTTTCTTTTTGTACTGTTAAATGTAACATTTATTAAAGAATAATTCTTCAAATAAAAAAGTAAATATTTGTTTAATCGAAGAATACATCTCCACAGCAGTTATTGCTGCTTGCACGTAATTTGCTTCTGGCTCTTTTGTATTAACTATAACTTGTGGTACTATGAAATAAATTTGTATTTCTTTTAATTTCTAATTGATCTACGTTAGGTTTGCCGCATGAAGGAAGGCATTGGGTGATGAGTTGTGTTGAGGAATTTTGGAAAGAGAGAATAATTTAAAAAAGATCTCCTCTTTTCCTTTTTGATATAAAGATGTGGTAGCTTTGGGTCAGAGAGGGCAGAGGGGGCAAGCTGCTTTCAGCAGGCACTGGCCTAATCTGAAAAAAGGCTCAAGATTTTTTGTTACCTGGCACAGCAACCCAAGACATGCTTTAGAGCTCATGTGTCCCCCTCTCCTTTTTCTCTTGGAAACTGTTTGGGTTTGAATCCTAGATCTGTCATTTGGCAGTTCTGTGACTTCTTAGACAAGATATTAGACTCTTTTAATCTCAGTTTCTTCATCTGTAGGATGGAGACAGTAGGATTTATCTCATTGCATTGCTGTGAAAAATAAAAGAAGTATAATTAATGCTTAGGATAATAATGCTTAAAAAATGTTAACTGCCAAATTCATCCACCTATAAGCAGCTGATATTTGACAAAGGCCCAAAGTCTGTTAATTGGGGAAAAGATAGTCTCTTTAACAAAGGGTGGCTGGGATAACTGGATATCGATCTGCAAAAAACTGAAACTAGACCCATACCTCACACCATGCATAAAAACCAACTCAAAATGGATTGAAGACCTAAATATAAGATCAAAAACAATAAAGATCATGGGAGAAAAAATAGGGACAACGCTAGGAGCCCCAGTACATGGCATACATAGAATACAAACCGTAAGTAATAATGCACAAGCACTAGAAAAGAGACTAGATAACTGGGGGCTCCTAAAAATCAAACACTTACGCTCATTAAAAGACTTCACCAAAAGAGTAAAAGGACAACCTACAGACTGGGAAAAAATTTTTGGCTACGACAAATCCGATCAGTGTCTAATCTCTAAAATCTACAAGATACTGCAAAACCTCAACAACAAAAAGACAAATAACCCAGTTAAACAATAGGCAAAGGATATGAACAGGCACTTCGCCAAAGAAGACATTCAGACATCTAACGGACACATGAGGAAATGCTTACAATCATTAGCCATTAGAGAAACGCAAATCAAAACTACAATGAGATACCATCTCACCCCAGCAAGGCTAGCATTAATCCAAAAAGCACAAAATAATAAATGTTGGAGAGATTCTGGAGAGACTGGAACGCTTATACACTGTTGGTGGGAATGTAAAATGGTACAACCACTTTGGAAATTGATTTGGCGCTTCCTTCAAAAGCTAGAAATAGAAGTACCATACAACCCACCAATCCTACTCCTTGGAATATATCCTAGAGAAATAAGAGCCGTCACGTGAACAAATACATGCACACCTATGTTCACTGCAGCACTGATCACGATAGCAAAAAGATGGAAACAACCTAGGTGCACATCAACGGACAAATGGATAAATTATGGTGTGTTCACACAATGGAATACTACGCAACAATAAAGAACAGCAACGAATCTGTGAAACATAACATGGAGGAATCTGGAAGGCATTATGCTGAGTGAATTTAGTCAGTTGCAAAAGAACAAATATTGTATAAGACCACCAGTATAAGAACTCAAGAAAAGGTTTAAACACAGAAGAAAACATTCATTGATGGTTACGAGGGTGGGGAGGGCGGGCGAGGGTTATTCACTAACAAGATAGTAGACAAGAATTATCTTAGGTGAAGAGGACAGCACATATTACAGGGGAAGTCAGCACAACTGGACTAAACCAAACCTAAGAAGTTTCCTGAATACAAGCAAACACTTTGAGGGACAGAGTAGCAGGGGTGGGGGTATGGGGACTGTCATGGTTTGAATATGTCCCCCAAAAAAAGTGTGTATCAGTTTGGCTAGGCCATGATTCCTGGTACTGTGTGATTTT